CCTGGCCACCCTCGGGCTCCTCTTCAGCTCCCTGCCCAGCCCAACTCCCAGCTCCCTTCCTGCCTGGCTGCTCTCCAGCCCCTCTGGCCCAGCCTGCAGCTGCAGAGGGTTCCTGTGGCCAAAGGGCAGGACCCTTGGCTGGTGTCCCATCTCCAAGGACAGCTGCAGCTCCCTGCTGTGCCAGCACCACCCCTGCTCCAACATCTGAGCTCCACAGTCCAGGTTAGATGAGGACACTGGCATCAGAAAAAGGATTTGCCTTTTCCTAGGCTCTTCCCTTCCCTGGAAATCCCGCTGGCAGCCTCAGGAAGGGCTCTGCACCCCAGAGAGCTGGACAGTGGCACCCACTGATCCCACCCAAAGGTCCCTCAGCAGCACCCAGGGAGGGCTGGGCTTTGCTGGAGGAGCAGCTGCCTCTTCTCAGCTCTTCTGGTGCTCTCAGAACCTGGAAATCATTAACTGGTTCAGTCTCTGACAACACTGATGACTGATGAAGGAGAGAGCAGGACGCCTCCTGCGTTGTGTCCGGCCTTTCCCATCCAAATTTACGGGAATGGCACAAAGGAGAACTCGGATCTCCACAAGAATTTGGGCTGAGATCAGTCCCCACCACTCCCAAGTCGGGCTGAGAAACCTCTTGGTCCAATTCCAGGGTGAACAGTGAGGGGAGAGCTGCCTCGGAGACACCTTTAACTGGGATTCAGGGATCCTTCCTCCAGCCAAAACGGGTTCCCAACTTTATCTGGACTTCAGATGAACCAAACTCCATAAAAACAGAGTTCCAGGCCTTTCCTCTAAACCCATTTGGCCACAAGAGCCACCGCAGAGGCTGGAGGACAGTGATTTAACACCAGCCACGAGAAGGCACTTCCCAGCCTTCCAGCAGGAATTCCCTGCAGGGCTGCATGGAAAAGAGCAGAGGGGGATTTTGTGGAGCCTTACAGGATGCTCTTTTTCCATGTAGGGGAAGAATGCAACAAGGGGTGTTGCCCCAATGTTGAGATTGGCTCCTGAGGATGGTCCAGGAGACCAAAAAATACAGAGGGTCAAATAAAAAAGGAGCAAAAAAGGGATTTAAAGGAACGGAGAGAGACAGGCAGAGCATGGATGGCTGGGAGGAGCCACACTAAGACAGGACAGAGCAGGAGGAGAAGGGCCAGGCTGGAATTCATCCCCAGGGAATTCCTTACCAGTGGATCCCTGACTATCTCCCTCCAGCAGCGACACACCAGGCTCAGGTTCTGGTACAGGTCAGCCACGGGAAGGAAGGCAAAGATGTGCCTGAGGACTTCCACAGGCAGCTCATCCAGGTTTCCCTGAGGCTCTTCCCAGTTCCGAGTGCCCAGGAGTCCGTAGTGGGGATCAGGGACTGGCTCCACTTCCACGTCATCCGGTTCCTGCTTGACCTGGCCGAGCTCCGGAGGAACCGGCGGCTTCTCCTCGGGCTCCCCCCACAAATCCTGCTCCGGATCGAGAATTCCCGAGGTTGCAGCGGCGAGGGGCCGCTTCCTGGATCTTCCCCTGGGAGCTGGCACGAAGTCCTCGTCCTCCAGGAGAGCTGAGGAGTCGCTGCTGAGGTCCGTGTGGCTGCTGAAGGCATCGTCAGCTCCTGGGAAAAAGGGATCCCGCGGCTCCTCTTTGATCCCACCGGCGCCCGCTTGTCGCTTCTGGGATTTCCCAAAGAAATCCAGGATGTTCTTCTGCCGGCCCTGTCCTGCACGAGGAGGAAGAGCAGGAGTGAATTCCATGGAAAGCTGAGCTGCCAGGGACGCCCGAGGCTGGGGAAGGTGGGAGTTATTTCCACAGGGCTCCTCCTTTTCCTTGTGTTCCTCCCATGGGAGCTCCAAGAGTAGGACACTTCCCAAACCTCTCCCAGGCTGCTCCTACCACAACTCCAAGAGTAGGACACTTCCTAAACCTCTCCCAGGCTGTTCCTACCACAACTCCAGGAGCAGGACACTTCCCAAACCTCTCCAAGACTGTTCCTACCATAACTCCAGGAGCAGGACACTTCCCAAACCTCTCCCAGGCTGCTCCTACCACAACTCCACGAGTAGGACACTCCCCAAACCTCTCCCAGGCTGTTCCTACCTGTCCAACTCCAAGAGTAGGACACTTCCTAAACCTCTCCCAGGCTGTTCCTACCACAACTCCAGGAGTAGGAAGGACACTTCCCAAACCTCTCCCAGGCTGTTCCTACCACAACTCCACGAGTAGGACACTTCCCAAACCTCTCCCAGGCTGTCCCTACCACAACTCCAGGAGTAGGACACTTCCCAAACCTCTCCCAGGCTGTTCCTACCACAACTCCAAGAGTAAGACACTTCCCAAACCTCTCCCAGGCTGTTCCTACCACAGCTCCAGGAGTAGGACACTTCCCAAACCTCTCCCAGGCTGTTCCTACCACAGCTCCAGGAGTAGGACACTTCCCAAACCTCTCCCAGGCTGTTCCTACCACAACTCCAAGAGTAGGACACTTCCCAAACCTCTCCCAGGTTGCTCCTACCACAACTCCAGGAGTAGGACACTTCCCAAACCTCTCCAAGACTGTTCCTACCACAACTCCAGGAGCAGGACACTTCCCAAACCTCTCCCAGGGTGTTCCTACCACAACTCCAGGAGTAGGACACTTCCCAAACCTCTCCCAGGCTGCTCCTACCTGTCCAACTCCAGGAGTAGGACACTTCCCAAACCTCTCCCAGGCTGCTCCTACCACAACACTTGAGGGAAATCAACACCTTTAAGAGGATAAAAACCGCTTTATTCCCAGGTATTTCCTGGTTGCAGCCTCAAAAAGCACCGGAGACCTCGGAGTAAATCCAGATTATGCTCTCACATTCCATGTAGGACATGGACTAAACTCCCCAGCACGGATTTATTCCTTCTGTCCTGCTCCTAAATCTGGAAAATATCCTGATTTCAGCTAAGAGGCCACTCAGGAATTAAAAAATCCCAGGCTGGTTTTAAGGCCTTTTCTTTCTGGAAGCTCAGGAAGGCTTGGATTAAACAGGGCTGGAAAAGAACAACTTCCCTGTTAAGGTTTTAAGTCTAAAT